TCCTTCCTCGGTATCGGCGTCCGAGCCGGTACCGTTGCAGCATTCAATTTGTTGAACGCGTGCACTATCCGCCACCCTCCTGTTGCTTTTCGCACACAGAAGGTCGGAGAGCTATGTGGGGAAGTTGATTCCCTCACATGGCCCGCTGCAAAAAACGATCGCCAAAGAACTTGTCGATCGCAAGTACTTGTTCACGAGGCAGTGGCCACTGCTTCATGACACAGTACTTCGAGCCTGGTTTAAGCTCGACCTCGTGTCGAATACCTTTATCCTTCGGTAATTCGCACGGAACAGTTTCAGGGAATACATCCTTGAATTCAACCAAATCTTCATAGAGAGGATTTGTCTTGAGCGATTCCCACGATTGGGAGTCATATCGCTCAATTCGTGTGTTTTAATCTAGGACAATCTCGTCCATAGATGAACTACTGAGAACTCTCTCGTTCTCAGTAAACACTGTTGCTGACCTTATGTCGGTTACACACTCGTCGTCAGCGACGAGTACGCAGATCTGCTTGACTTTGCCACTACGCAGATCACGCAAGAACCTTTTTTGTTCGAGCGTTGGCAACTGAGTGATCTCCGAAGTCAACTTCGGAGGCGCAATCAGATCAAGTGTATAAGCGCCTACACTTGATCCGTTATTGACTATGACATTCAATGTCTCTGTCATTTCCTGGGGACTTATTCCCTCAGGCTTCGAAGGACTTATTCCTTCGGCTTCCCGGGGACTTATTTTTTCCCGCGGGTTTCGGGGAACTTATTTCCACCGTATTTGTAATCTTGGGACTTATTCCCTTTACTTCCTCTAGCTGTGGTTGCGCAACCACAGCGAGATCCTCTACGAAAGACTCTCCAGTCGATCTAGGATTATCGTTTCGCTTAAGCTGAGCGATCGATGGTTTCTCTTCTAGATGTTCCCCGCTAGGGATACATCTTTGTCCCAGTCCACCCGACTTATTCAATTGGTGGATCTTCGGCGCAGCCTGTGTTTCCTCACAGCAACCGGAAGCTTGCTCCGAAGTGTAACCGTTTGGTATACTAAGGTTTTGTGCAGTCGTACTAACGACCGTACCACAAGTGAGGCCATCGCACTCACTCGTAGTACATCCACACGCTTGTGGACGCTCCAAAACGTTCATCAGATGGCCATCTGATCAACAAGCGGCAGACATCGTTACTGTTCGATGTTGCCAGTTTACCCGTGGTTCGTACCTTCTGAGCCACGGCATTCCAAGGATGACATCAAATTTGTCATCCAAATCCAATACGATAAAGTCATCGTCATATTGGGTATCTTCTAGCGTATAGTGGATCTTCACTATACGCTTCATGACGGTTACGGATGCGCCTGTCGGAAGACGTACCGTCATCCTCGTAGGAGGTGTGTCACATTCACTGAACTTAAAGTGACCATCTTCTAGCGATTGGCGTCGCACAAAATTGTTGGACGCCCCACAATCGACTAGAGCTCGAAGGGACAACTTATTCGTCACTTCGAGTTTCAAGGTAATGAGTGAGATCTCATTACCTAGAGGAGCAACGCACAACGTTTGTGTGTTGGGAGCAACCTTCATCAAGAGGCCTACAAATTCTCTTGACGTTGCTAGACCAGTAGGGTGCTCCGCACCTACTGATCCTGTCCGTTTTTTGACGGTCCATCCCGTTGTTGCGTCTTTGCACCAACTGCGGACCCTCGTCCCTGCCCCTTTCTCATGGGTGGACGGTCACTACGCCCAGTGTCGCGAGACACTGGACGAGGGGCACTACACTCGTAAGCGTAGTGTCCTGTCTTTTGACATCTGTTGCATCTCTGCAACTTCTTGTAGTCTGTAGAGCGAGCCTTCTCGCTCTCTACATAACAGAGTTCCATCGGCTCTGGACCTCCGCTTTCATACTGTCTCGGCTGACGATATGATGTCGAGCTGGCGCGAGCCTGTCTCAGACTGAAGTCTTCCTGTTCCGCAATGGAAATGGCTTGCTCTAGTGAATCTAGTTCAAGCCGGAACAGGTGAGTCTTGGCGGGACCATCCGCAAGACCTTGCATGAACACCGAAACCAACGTGTGTTCATTCACCGGATTGGAACTTACACAACTCGTAAGATGTCGTATATGTTGTGCGTAAGCGTGCACATCACGCTTACCTTGTTTGATCTTCAAGAGTTTGGTTCGAGCAGTGAACTCAGCTCTAGGCGGTTCAAACGTTTGTCTGAGCCGCGACTTGAAGACTTCCAACGACCCAAACGAATATGGGTCGTGCAACTTGAGCCCCAGTGCCCAAGTCTTGGCACGTCCTGCCAGATTTGACTGGGCAAATGCAACTTGCATATCCCCGTCGTCGATGCGACGCGCCCTTATGGCGTCATCCAATTCGACGAACCATCTCAAGAGGGAGTCCTCTTCGACTCCCCTACACTTGGAGATGTCAATGTTCAAGGTCTCGGGTCGACGCGAATGCATCGAACCACCAGCAGCAGCCTGCTGCTGTCTCAACAGTTCAAACTGTTGAGCACCCTGTTCTCTCAACAACTCTGCTTGTTGAGAACCTTGTTGGTGAAGCAAGGCTACTTTCTCGCGTTCTGCGTCAAGTTCATTTTGAATGAACTTGGCGATAGTAGCATGTTGGGCATCTCTATTGAGAGCCTCTAGCATGACGCTAACAGCATGGATGCCCATGGTTGAACCCATCCGTTCAACCGCATCCCATTCGACATCGCTCAAATGGGAGTAGCCGTCACGCGTAGCGTGAAAGCTTTGGTCATTTTCATCATCCGACATATTCATGTTAGATGTGAACGTGGTCCTTGGACGGACTACGAAGTGCTACCAGGTGTAACGGGGCACCCTGAAGCTTGTACTGGTGACAGTACAAGCTACTTATTCTGATGACAGAATAAGGCGGTGCCTCGTAACTTCACGTACACTCGTACGTGCAGAGGAAGACGGTAAGAAGAAGCGAGTACTTGGTTAAAGTAAAAAGTAGAAATACATTTATAACAGTTAATGTCTGTTAATAAACCACTGTTTATCTTCATCTAACTATGTCTAAATACAAATGTGCATATCAACTATCTGCTCACCACTCATTGCGTGCGTCTGTCGTGGCGCGTCTTCGTTGGTTGATATAATGGCCTATATCAACCAATTAGGAACTACTCGTAAGTGCTACAGAATATTTGTCCTTATGACAATATTCTGAGAATACAACTCTTATAGTTATATTCTATTAACAATTTCTTATAAATTGTTCTGTAACGGTTCACCCCGTTACACTCGTCGAGTACAAGAGGATTCGAATCACGTTCTATCATCCGAATGCATGCGCGGGACCAGACTGGGCTTCTGAATGTAGTAGAGCCTGTCTTTTCAGGAACCCTCGTAAAAGGGCGTCGTCATCCATTTACCCAGTAGCAAAGACCGTTGAGAAGGCTGTTTTTACACGGAAACGCAACAACCGTGTGAACGTGGTTCAGACCGGACGTTTATGCTGTTTTGAAAGGTGTTTTTTTAGCAAGCACGTGCAGCACGCGCGGGAAGGATAGTAACATTATTGCGTCGGTGTCACGGCCGAGCTATACACGCGAGCTCCGTTTCTTGCAGTTTACGTGCACTATGAAGTCGTGGTAATGACCTTCAACGTTTTACTTGCGAACCATATCAATTGCAGCAAACAACTGCAGTTGAAGTGCAGGTTTGGAATAGATTGAAGCTGTTCTAGACCCTATGCCGCAAGCCGGTTGAGCATAATCTGGGTATCTCAAGCCGCCTACAATCGTCTAGTCTCTCGGACCCTGTCGCTTGTTTCCTCGTCAGTGCGGCCAGGACTGTACCTTCAACTGCTGACTGAAAGTGCATAAATTTACACGGAGTGAAGAGTCTGTATGTGACCGTCGAGCGATGTCGGCTTCTCTCGCTCTTTTTCAGTGCCACATGTGCTATTTTGGTATTAACCTGGGCAAAGTGGTCTACAGACATAAGCGAGGGTGGCTTCGGGCAGCTGCCGTCCAGGCGTCAGCAGGATAGAAAGTCAGCACAGCTCAGAATTTTATCTGGATACATGCGGAATTGCGTACCGTAGCACACGCCCGTTCGGTTCACCTTCCTTCAAAATCCAACACTAAACAACGGCAAGCACGTGTCCAATGCAGAAATCGGACGGCAAGCTGGACAAACAACGCACTGTGTTTTTCAAAGGCCGAACTTCTTGTCATTTCCGAATACGCCTTCCAAGAATCACCTCCCTAGTCCTTCCTCAGAACAATGCGCCTCGTCTACGCGGTACTGTTGGCCAATGTTGAGCTTGCACTTGATGAGGTAGAAAGGAAACTGATATATAAATTGTGCCGTTATGTCCTAGCTATTCTTCTCGCTATCTCGCACACTGTGTCTCTGTATCTGCCGCTCTTACTAGGTCAACTTACTGTTGCTACGCTTCCATTCGCCACCACTCCGATGACGCGCTTCCTGTCTGTTGGCAACTGCAAGCTTCTTCACCCATCTTTGCAGCCCCTTCATCTGTCGACTGTCCTCTTTTACACATGCAAACAGTCGCCGACACCAACTTGATCTGACACGTCGTGCCGCACATCGTGACTCTTCATCCCGATCTTCAACACTCCTCCTTGTCGGCGACTTACACTGCGCTTACACGATGTGTAGCAGTGAATGCAACTTGACCGTCTTGACTGCATCGAGTGCTTTGGTGAGTAAGTCCGCAAGCATCAGATCGCTCGGCACATATTGTGGCACCACAATGCCTCGAAGAGCGTAGTCGCACAAGCACTTGACTCTCACATCAATGTGCTTGGATTTAGTAGACGACGCTTCTCCTTCAATCTGCCGTATCGCTACCTGGTTGTCAATGAGCATATTTATTCGGTAGTGCAGGCGAGTCACCAATTTCACTCAGCGTCTCTCTCACTCCAAGTAGCTCTCGTCCAGCTTCAGACGCTGCCACAAATTCCGACTCCATTGTCGAGAGCGCCACACCTCCTTGCTTTTACGAGCACCAGCTGTTTATCATTCCATTCAGCATGATAACGCTACCGGTCAAAGACTTTATGTCTGCCTTGTCGGCTGCGTAGTCTGCGTCACTGTAGCTCATTAGAACAGGTTGTGACGTTTCTTCGACTGCTGGCTTCATGCTGATCTTCAATCCACGCTTGCCACTCAGATAGCGCACGATGCGCTTAGCCAATTTCCAGTCACAAATCCGTGGCTCGTGTGTTTGTCTGGTTGCCTTGTGCACCGCAAATGCGATGTCGGGTCTTGTGCACCTCGCTACCCAGAGCAACGATCCGACAATAGACTGAAATGCATGAACGCTAGGTTGACCTGGAGCACCCGTGTCTGCAGGTTGTCCGCTGTTTGCACATTGAACCTCATAAACATCTGTCCCGATAGGCACACGACTTGAGTTGGCATCGTTCATGCCGTGGTCACGCAGCAAGTCGACAATCGCCTCCTCCTGGTCAAGAAAATATCCACGATCTTCGTTGCGCGTCACGCGCATCCCCAAAAACTTCGACACTGGTCCCAGATCTTTAATCAAAGACTTTCGAGGCTTGCGAAAAAACCGTCAACTGCAACAGCGGATGTTCCAGTCTCCACGTAGACTCCGACGATGACGACTCCATCGATGTCGCGCCTGTAATACAAGCAGAGGTCGCTGATGCAGCGAGTAAATCCGGCTTCCAATAGCCGATTGTTAAGCAATTGGCTCCACAATCGCCCTGCCTGCTATAAGCCATAAAGATTTTTCTTCAGTTCAAGCACGACATCTTCAATCTTCGTTGCCCCCAGTTCTTTTAACTCTCTTGTATCAATCGTCATACCCTTGGGGACATGCATCAGAATCGCGAGATGCTGTTCCTTCTCTGCTTTAACGTAAGCATTGGGGACGTCTCCGTGCTTAGCCGGGACGCCCCATGTTGTAGCTAACGCCAAGATTACTTTCACTGTCGTCATGTCCATGACGGCAGCGAAAGTTAGCGCGTAGTCCACGCCAAAAACTTGTTCATTACCGCAGGCAACGAGGCGCGCTTTGTGCCTTTCCAAATCTCCATCGGCAGTCGTCTTAGTCTTAAAGACCCATTTACTATGGATAACGGTGCTGTTGCTTGATCGGAGCTCCAGACGCCACACTTCGTTTCTTTTAAGCGCGTCCAGCTCCTCACGCTTTGCTTTTTGCCACTCGTTTCTCTTCTTGCTCTTCATTGCTTCACCATAGTTGCGAGGATCTCTGTCGAACACGTGATTGACGACATCTGCGCTGACAGCTACTTCTTGTTGGCTTGCAGCTGCTTTCTTTGCCGCACCTCTTGTCACGTGTGGCTGGCGATTCCACTGTTTCTTCTTCTTGGGCTTTTTGCTCGCAGTAACATTACTGCTCTGTCTCACAGGTGTCTCAGTGCCTTCGTATGAATCTGCCCGGTCATCGTCATCACTGGCTAGTTGCAGCTGCCTGTTCTGGGCTTCAGACAACGTTTTAATATTCTTGACATGCTGCGTCGTGATGACCTTCTTATCCTTCCTGATGAATGCTCTGAAACCCTTGGTTTCGTTACTGCATCCAACGATCATGCCCACTTGAGCGCGGCGCGCGAACGCGTTCTTTCTTGGATCACGGTAGACGGTACAGTGGGAGGCAAATACGACAATGTTGCGCAAATCCGGCGATTTGTTCGTGAGAAATCAAGGCGGCGACGCTCTCTTAGGACTCAAATTCGTGGGGCTCCTGTTCAGAATATACGTGGAGTATTCAGCGGCATCACCCCAGAACGTTAGGGGCAATCTAGACGCGAAGATCATCGCTCGTGTCATGTTTAAAACGGTCCTGTGCATTCTCTCGGCTTTCTCATTCGACGCTTGATTTCGCGCTTCACTCACTTGTCTTGCAACGCCTGTCGATTTGCAAAACAGGTCAGCATTCTGGTATTCTCCACTGCCATCTGTTCTGAGAACCGCGATTCTGCACTCAAATCGTCGCTCAAAGAACACCAAAAAGTGTTCGAACTTCTTTGCCGCAGCGTTCTTGGTTGGAGCTAAGAAAACTCGACAGTAGTTGGTCTTGTAATTGATGAAGTTGATTAGATATCGGTTTTCGAGTCGATCCGCAGGCGTTAGTGGGCCTTTTAGGTCCGAGCAGATGACACCGCCGATGCGGTCGATCGGGGCGCTCTGTCCAGAGTCTTTCTGGTTCTGCTTGTTATTTGTCTGCTTGATTTGTGCGCACGTGATGCATGTCATCCATTTGTGGTCCGTCAGCTTGATACCCGAGCTTGGATTTCTCGCGACCTTCTCAATTGCTTCGTACGACAGATGCCCCAGGCGTTAATGAAAGTGTAGCAGAGAGCCACGATGCATCTCCGAAGTCATTTCATCTGCTGCCTTTTCCTGAATGGCAGCTATTTTGACTTCCGCTGGCTCCTTTTGGCGTAACACACTTTTTCAACGTCTCGACGATTAGCACACTATTCTCCATCGTCACGTCGAACGCGACCTGGCCATCACTCCGTCGAGCTACTAATCGTTTGCCATTAGATTATTTAAGAATGTATCCCTTTTGATCAATCTTGCCATAGCTAATGATGTTGCGGGCCAGACTCGGTGAATAGTAGACGTTCGTGAGTTTGACTGTTTTTTCTTGTCCATTGGCAGCCACGGAGAGTCTCACACTACCGACCTTGGACAGACCGACTTTTTCGTTATCAGCTAGCGATACTACATCATTGCAAATCTCTGCGTAGATCAGCAGGCGATCGTCGTTCACCAGGTGTCGACTGGCACCGCTGTCGAGTATCCAGTCGTCGTTCAAATTGTCGTTGTCGTCATTAACAGCAAGGACCACCTCGCCGTCGTTCTTGGCACTCTTGTTGACGTTCCTTTTTGACCTGCAGTCAATCTTCAAATGACCTTGTTTGCCTGAATTGTAGCATGAACGCGTCTCCTTGCGACGTCTTTCATCAGTGAGAGCGGCGACTAACTCGCGTCCCAACGTCCTTCCGGTCTTGTCCTCAAGTTCAACCTACTGTGCGAAATGCGCAAGCTCTTTAGCTTGGCGCAAATGATCGTGTCGGTCATTGTTGTACTTGGCCATTAAAACTGTTGTAAGTTTAGCCGACGCATTGTGGACAGTGTTGTCAAAAACTTGTGCTTCTGCACCTCCACCGCAGGCATCGCATACAGCAACCATAAACAGGTAGTGTTCAGGCCAAGATCTCTTGGGATATTTCCTTGCAGTGAAAATTTTCATGCTTTGCGACATCGTGATTGTAGTCTTGAATGTGTGTAGCAACCGGCTCATAGCGTGATCGAGAGAGGCTTCTTCGAGACACCAAACGTCCACTTGTTTTTGGTAGTACCGCTCTGCTGTCCCACTTAGGTAGTGTTCCAGCAAGTCGACCTTGACATCTTCAGCCCATGCAAATCTGCAGTCCTGCTACGCCATAGTGACTTGGCGCAAGAACGTGCGACCCCAGTCAGCAAAACCCGATCCGAGACCCTGGTACAGTTCTGTACCATCAAACTTGCGAATGGCAAGCTTACGTTGGCGTGCGTCCGGGACAAGCAACGGCAACTCCTGCGTCGGTGCCTGCTGCATTGGTGGCACAGGCGCATGAACGTCTTCAAAATCTGGAGGAGACACTGGCGCATAGCGTGGCGCCTGTGGTCGAGCAGCGCCCGCTGGCTTTCGCGGACCGACATACCGTGGACCGAACTGCTGGAATAGCGAGTCACCTGGTTGCGTCACGCGAACACGTCCACGCGGCTGCCTCGGAGCATCATATCCTAGCGCGTTACGATGTAGAGTCGTACCGCCCATGCTGCGTCCCAGCGCTGACGCAAAAAAGCCACTGTCGATCGCGCCTCGCAGTCGCTCGTCCTCGTCGATCTGCATCTGCGACGCCTCGAGCGCTTGCATGCGATCCGTGAGTGCAGTCAGCATTGTGAGGATCCTTTCGACGGTCCCCGCACCCCTTTCGTGGGCTTGGGTATCGCTAACAACGGCGGCCCTTTCGTGGACGTGGTCTGCAGGTGCAGAAGTCGTCATATCATCAGTCGGAGGAGCCATTGGGTCTTGGGCTTATAATCTGTTCGCCAATGTTGAGCCAGCACTTGATGAGGTAGAAAGGAAACTGATATATAAATTGTGCCGTTATGTCCTAGCTATTCTTCTCGCTATCTCGCACACTGTGTTTCTGTATCTGCCGCTCTTACTAGGTCAACTTACTGTTGCTACGCTTCCATTCGCCACCACTCCGATGACGCGCTTCCTGTCTGTTGGCAACTGCAAGCTTCTTCACCCATCTTTGCAGCCCCTTCATCTGTCGACTGTCCTCTTTTACACATGCAAACAGTCGCCGACACCAACTTGATCTGACACGTCGTGCCGCACATCGTGACTCTTCATCCCGATCTTCAACAGGTACTGCTACCTGGCATTTTTGTCTCCGTATCCGACGGGAATCTGCTCCACGCCGATGCGCTCCATGAGGACAAGACGGGTGTCTTTGCTGGTCGCCAGCTCCGAGCAGCCGCCGGCGGACTAGGGGTATCTCCGCTTGCAGAGGAATTCGCGAAAGCAATTGAAACTATAAACGAACGCGCGACCCTCGTCAACGACGCGAAGTATGGCAATTACAAACAAATTCAGAATCCGCTAGATGAAGTCTTTGGACCACTTTTGGCCTCCGAGAAGAGTTTTGCAAGATTATCTTCCAAACCTACTGTTGTCATCAAGATGACAGACGCATGCCAAGATCATTTGTTAACGGATCATGTTCAGTATCAAACTGTGAAAGATCACATAATACAAACATATAAACCTTCGAAACTTGAACGTATCGTTGGAATGCTCAAGAACAACGAAGGTAAAGAGGCTAGATATTTTGCAGATACATTTTAAAATTACCTTGCATCCGGGTAGTTGCGTACCTACCACATGACATTGACCACACCAAGAGATAGTGTGTAACAACGGAATCGACTCATTGCTCGTCAACAATGTCATAGAATTGACACTGATAGGCTTAGATTTTGCATTTTCGAACTAAGGACCTAACTAACTAACATTAAATCATATTTCGTATTCTTACATTCAACCTCCTACACCTATCTACGACACCTTTAACGTATCTCACATGTCAAAAATCACCTTTTCCTTGCTAATTAGTATCGCATTTCAGTCGCAGGGGGGCTCTATTAAGTCTCACTAATCTATATTTTTGTAGAGTACACACATGCCTTATCTCACTAACCTGAATTTTGCAGTACACACATGCCTATATATTGAGCTATTAAATATGTTCTGTGCTTAAAAGAACCAGTCATTGTTTAGTATTCCACGTCTTCTTCAAGAAAAAATTAAAAGCTATATTAAATCACGAAAAAACATACAAAAAATGTCCACTAATAGGCCTTCATATTTCGCTGAGGGTGAGCCCTCACCTCACTCATTAAAGAAGTAGTGGACTAACGGTCTCTAAAAATTCAAACTTGCATTGTTGTGCTCTCAAAAAAGAATGTCTATTTATCACAGATCATCTAGTATATTGGACCTGTGACAACCTTAGTTAGAAGCCATGTGATGGGCATCAACCATCTCGCTGAAGAGCTTTGATTCTGTGGACGAACTCGGCCACGCGCTTGACGATCTAACACTGCCAGAAGGCTGCTTTACAACAATCAAAAGGCAACAAAGGATGGGTAACCGCAAGGATGTGAGCTTACAGCATTTGATCTACAGTGCTCATTTAACGCTGAACATAGCAGGCGGTCATTTAATCGGTTAAATTATATCACTCAAGCACAACTAGAGGGTGAGCAGAATACCACAAAACTATGGTGACATCAAGGTCGTCTGTTTGCAAGTTTGTAACGGGGTTACACAAACGTATGCGATAACCAGATACATTGGTGAGGTACACACAGAACGAGAGCTGTGTCACTGATAAAGCGTACTTTCGTGTCACATGTCTAAGCAGAATTACCGTACTCTAATGGCTGTGGTTAGAGGAAATCTATCGTAAAAAAGTCTCTGTAGAAACGACGTTGTTCTGGTGTGGTACACAAGAAGAATTATGATGAGGTCTATTCGATTTGGTAGTGTTGTTTCAGATTAAAGACGTAAGTAAGGTTAATTATGGCTATATCAGTAAATAGATTCAGTTTCCCTTTTGATCAGTTTCAGGCACGTGTCTTTCTAAGACGTCTCTTGATCATAAGAGTTCAGTTCCTAGGCTAAGGCTAAGTACTCTTGAGTACATAGGCGACGTGATTCCTTTGAGTCGTACTCCCTGAACCAGGACAAGAAGCTTAAGACCTTGTACACATACTTGAACTTAAATCTCACTAAGTCTAGAAGATTTGAGACCGTTAAACATAATATCCGATTTTTCTGATAAATAGAGATGCTACGAGTCTAAAATTCTTTCTCTGAACTAGGATTAAGAATAGCTGCGTAACGGGGTACCCCGTTACATGATACTAACACCAAACGGTGTCAATAGGGATATTGTCTAGCAGAACAATATCCTACCAATATTATCCATAAATGGATAATATTGAAGGAAAATTATACC